AGAGAAGCCTGCAGTTTTCCTCTGGTGCATGTTGTGGATAGTGGATGCATTTCCCATGAAGACTCGGAGACAGGAGCCTGGCCAAAGAGGCCAGTCACCCCAGCCCCTGCAAGGCCTGGACCTGCCCCTCTGGTGTCTGCACACAGTACCACAAGTCTAGCAGTGCTGGCTCTGTGGTGGGATCCATCTGGGCCTGCAGAGGACCCGGGGCACAGGAACCGTGCAGCCTGGCTGCAGCCAGATGCCTAAGGGATCCCCACAAGGGTCTCCAGCTGAGGTGCCCTCACCACAGGCAGAGCCATGCAAGAGAACTGCCTGCTGAACTGGAAACGTCCCAAACTGCTCAGCCAACTCAAAGGCAACAGCCACCTACAGCTGCTGAGCCCCGAAACGTGGCCACTAGACCCAAAGGGCTGAATCTGGAATTTAACCTGTGAAGTTCTTTTCCAGTGTGATTAGCTATGTAATCAAATCTTTATTCTAATTAAAGGAGTCTCAGGTTATGGGCTCCCTTGTCGGGCATCACAGCTCCAGGGAGTAAGAATGGGAAGGAGAGGCCCAGAGCCTCTCTGTATTCTCCACGCTAATTCAACACGTCATCATAAGGACAGGCACTCCAGCAGGAGAGGTGTGCATGGGAAGAACTGGGTTGGCCCTGACACAAGCATGACCCCCATGGCATCACAGCTGCCTCAGCCAACAGGCAAAAGACAATGATGCCCACCTGGACAGGCCACCGGATGTGATGAGGCACCCCAAGCCCTAGTCCCACAGCAGCCAGAGACCACCCGCTGCTCATCCTGGGTGAAACAGGCAGAGCTGCCTGAGCCCTCAAAAGAATTAAGGAGGCAATTCCCGCGATTCCCACGACACACGTGACACTCCTCAGAGACAGACACAAGCTTCGCTGTGAAAGTGCAGAGGACGGTGCAGTCCCTAGGCAGGCTGCTTCTTCCAACGATTGGGGAAGAAACCAGATCCGTTTCCTTGTAGGAGAATCATTTAGTACCGTGATTAGACAGAAGATAGAAGGTAGCTGATGTTATCAAGTCACCAAGCACCGCATGGCTGCTTCTCCGAGGGGGGCCTGGAAACTTGCAGCCACCTGCGTAGGGGCCGCAGTGTTTACAATGGAGATACGTGTGACTGAGGTCTGGCTTCCTCAGGGAAGCTAAATTTGAACCTTCACCACTGAGGAATCGGTCATTTACAGTCACTCACCCTCAATGCAGAAGAGGGCTCAAGACACTGCACCAGACTTCAACACTCAGGGTTAGGGTCAGGGTCAAATTCACAAGTTTTACAAAATGTATTTACTTGGGATGCCAGAAAAGATGTAACTTCACACACCACCACCGCCCCCACCCCCAGGGTTTGCTTAGCCCCTTCACCAGTGGATCTCACCAACAGAGACACATCCAGGCCTCATCCACGGCAGCACAGAAAAGCACTTGGGAGACAGCCACTCCCACCAAGCTTCCTGGCTTTGGTGTTTAAATTCTGCATCTCATATGTGAGATTACACTCCTCTGAACAGACATTGTGACTGTCATTTCACCCAAAAGGGCTTTAGGAAATGACACGCGGTCCAAACGCCAGAGGCCGCCGGCTGCCTTACTCCAGCCTAATTCCTTTGTGCCTCTATGGAGGCTTCACAGATACAGCCCGGTCACATTAATGACCGTATGAGAAGCTCAGGGCATAGACGAACTCAGTGCTAAATTTTTCCATTTATCGCCCCTTTGTTTTATCGAGAAGACAGCTGAGAAAGGCTGGGGGCAGATCATCTCCTCCAGTGTAATGACTCCACCCACTTCTCTTCACCCCAGGTCACCCCCTCAGTCACACACTTTTGAGAAATCAAAGCAATTCTGTTCTCTTCACTCTGGGTTCCAAGTACTAAATTCCTCCATTTTCTCAATTAGATTATCAAGCAGCCGTTTGTAATCTGGACTGCAATCTGATACAAAATGTAAAGCTAATTTAGGTTGTGGTAATAGCTCCTATTTACATTATAGACAAGGCATGAATGATAACTTTAATCTGTTTGTTCATAGGATCAATTTTGTAAATAAACCAACTATTCAAGCAATGATTGTCTTCAGTCAGATGCAAATTTGCTCATAAAAGATTTTCCAGTAGGAATTTTTAAATCCATGGTCTGTATTCCCTGAGCCTGTCTCTGCACCTTCCGCAGAGTGCACAGCAGGACTTCCCAGGGCATCCCATCAGCAGGCCCACTGAAGAGAACAAGCCCGCAGCCCCCAGTCCACGAATCAAGTCCGAGCCCCAGCAGCCCTTCGTCCAGCTGAGGCTTCCTCACCAGCACAGCACCCAGAGGTCCTTCCAGGCTTAATGCCACGTGTGCGTGCAGACTGCTGGAAGGACCACAGTGGACATTCTACAAATGCAAATTCCCTCCTGCAACAGCCCAACAACCCTCTGTACTTTCCTCAAAGTACCCATGCCAGGCAGGCGTAGAGTCTAATGGGGTGCCTAGGAATCAGCATTTAACACAACTCTGATGAATAAACAAGTTTGAGAGGCCGGTCAGTGAGAGGCTGCCGTGGCCTCCACTCATTTGCAGGCTCTGAAGAGACAGATTCTGGTAAAAGGCCAGATAGGACAAGGATGGGGAGGTGGAAGGCAAATTACAGGGACCACCAACCACCCTGCCACCCCCACTGAGACTGTGATTTAAGGAGAGGCAAAGCCAGGGAGAAAAGATGCCCACACCACGCGAGGGACTGAGATTTCACCTAAAGTGTGCAGCATGTGGCTGAGGGCCAAGGTTGGGCAAGCCAGGAGCACAGAATGGGGTTCACAGGCCCAGAGGTGCCCCCCCACACCCAGACCCCACGCAGACCTCCCAAGCACTGCCTGTGTCTCCTGCCTGGTTTATTTCCTGCCCCCCCTTCTACTGTTTTGGTTTCTCAGCCGCCCATCACCACCACCACACACCCCTCTCAAGATTGGTGGACTGAAAAGAGCAGGTGGGGTAAGAGCTGGGCTCTGGGACCAATCCTGCCTGAGACATGAGTTCTAACCCACCCAGCTGTGATGTGAGCCTGTGAGATTTCTCAAATGAGAAATGGAAAGGTAACTGAACCCACGTCCCAGGGTGACTGTGGAGACTGAGATCACATATAGCCACACCTCGGCGTCCAGTACACGTGGGACACCAGCCGTGTTGCCCCTGATGGGAATCCCTCTATGCCCCCTTTGCTACCAGAGTCAACTCCCAGAAGTAGCTGTGGAGGGTGCGTCCTCCATTCCCACTCCACTCACCTCCCATGGCTCCACGCAGTGACCTGCCATGCAGCGGCCACCAGCAAACGCGGTCCCACTGGATAACTGACCATCCCCGCCCCAACTTTGGGGCGTCTTCCACTTGCAGTTCTGAAGCAGTCCGAGAAACTGCCTTCAAGGGCACTCACCTGTTCCTTATTGCACGTAATGACCTGCCACGCAGGACCACCAGCAAACCTGGCGCCACAATCCAGGCTCCAGGGAATAACTGACCCCCCACCCCCCACCTTGGGTCTTCTTCCACTTGCGGTTCCGAAGAGGGCTGAGAAACCGCCCTCAAGGGCGCTCACTTGTTCCTTATTGCACGTAATGACCTGCCACGTAGGGCCACCTGCAAACCCGGCTCCACCGTCCAGGTTCTGGTGGGTAACTGCACCCCTCCCCTACTTCCCCCTGGGGTGTCTGGGAGGCTCAGAAACTGCCCTCCAAGGACACTCATCTGTTCCTTATTGCACTAATACCTCGTTTACAGAAATCCACTTTGACTTCCAGCACTGCAGGTGTGACAATTTAGGAATCCTGCTTGCTTGCAAGCTCCAAGAGCTTGAGGTCACGTCCACCTCACCAGCATCCCAGAGACCCAGTACTGTCTCACTCTGTTTAAAATTCCAAAACACTCTTTCAAAATGCTATTGGCATTTGGTTTGTGCATAAAATGCTAAAAACCTTCAAGTGAAACAAGTATCTTCAACAGTTTGATTCAATCATAACATGTGAGTTACATATCTGCCAAGTTGTAAAGCCTCATGCATTTATAACATTTTATGTATGGTCAAATGGTTCATTAATATAAATTATGAGAATCTATAAGAAACAGTTTTTTTTCTGGCATTAGATGACCAAAGGAAAACTGGGTTCTGGCTGGCTTGCTGGACCGTAGAGGCAGACATATCTGCTGACACAACCAAGCTCCTTGCCACTGACGTGGCCTCATCCCAGGCCCCTCACCCGGATGCCTGCACGCACCTGGAGGAGCAAGCGGACCTGCCCACATCTCTCAACTGCACAGCTGTTGCTCACACCGCAGATGGCGCTCAAGGCACGAGCAAGCCACCACACTAAAAATACCACGCAGCGTCCACGCCAGGTGACGGTGCTTTTCACTCCATCCCAAAGCCCCATGAGTGAGTTTACAGCCATGACTACTAAATGGATTTTTTGACCCTCAAGACATACTTTGTTTCCTTTATATGCAACAAAGTTACAAGACTATCCCTCACATATAGGCTCTGAAACTGTGGAATGATTATTTGGGAACAGAACCTCTGCCAGCTCAGGATAAGCACTTCGGACAACACCCCGTGCCCTCGGTCCACACAAACCCATCCAGACCAGAGGCCCCCGCACTGCTCTGGAATTTCTGTGGATTTCTATAAATGAGGTATTAGTGCAATAAGGAACAGATGAGTGCCCTTGGAGGGCAGTTTCTGAGCCTCCCAGCCACATGGCCACGTTCTGGCTGAAGCACTGTCCCTCGCCGAGGTGTGTGGCTTCTCCCTTTTTCCAGAACTTAAAACCTGAAAGGACAGGTCTGTGTAGAAAAACAAACTACTTGCCATTCCTCTTCCCAGTTCAGGCTGTAGGAAGCTCATTTCAGCCCTCACCGTGTTCTGACTGTGGCTTGGTTCCCATAAGAAATAAAGTCAGAATTCTAGTCCCTGTCTCCTGGGCGGTGTGGCAGGCATACATACCTTCAGTTACATGAGGAAAGGCGTGGCGAGCTCCCTTCCTTCAGTAAAACTGCACGGTTCCCAGAACCCTGATGCCATCCCCCTCACGCCACTGTGAACACCTGGACAGAGCACATTTCAATGCGTGCACCTTCGTGGACTAGTTTTCTATTTCTCCACTAAATCACCCCAAATTTAGCGCCCTAAACACTGACTTATTTTCTCACATTTCTGGAAGCTGGAGTCCAAAACAGGTCCCACCACCTAACATCGAGGTGTCGGCAGGGCTGGCTCTGGGAAAGCGACCGTCTCCTTGCCTCCCGCAACCTCTAGAGGCTTCCGCACCCCCTGGTCCATATGGCACCCACTGTCTTCAGGACCCACAGCGGCCCTGACGGCCCCTCAACAGGAAGACACAGAACGTCAGGAGCCCGGGCTCTAACGCTAGGGCCATGCCTCCCCACCCTCCTAGCTCCTCACGTACTCCCGTACGAGCTAATATAGATTCCACTTCAACTAGTGTCACCTGTGTAAGGGGTAAGTGCCCAGCTGTGAACTGGTTACTCTCGCCCACACAGACCCCGGGAATAAACTCACAGGCCATGGACCACTTCATAAGCAACAAATGACCACCTGCTCGGGGACCTCCATGGCCCAGCGGAGTCCTGTGGTGCCTCCCCGTGGGCTCAAGGGACCAGTGGCTGGGGTCTGCAGCGCCAGAGGGCCCTGGATAAAAAAGAAAGCTCCCATGTCGGGAGGCACCCACCTGCGGTTGGGTTCCCGGTACTTTAAGGAGCCCAGGTGGACAAGCTGTGAAGCGTGCAACTCCATCACCAGAATAGTGGCTGCACGTGGCGAGTGCACGGGTGGCCACCCCTCAGCCCAGCTGGCCGCGCTAAGCACATCACCGCCGTGACGCCCAATCAGACTCAGCTGCTGGCACAGTCCAGGCATCCGCCCCCAAGAACATTCTGGATCACGATTCACAGTAGTGATTGTGATCAGGGCCACACGTAGCTGAATGTATTTACAGGAGGACGCCACAGCCGATCTGGGTGGACTGAGAGCATTTCCCACTGTACCTTCTTACAACACCATTTTATTTGCCCTTTATTAAACTTTTATGGCTTTTTTCTGTTTATCTACTTTATGGGAGTGTTTCTTATTCTTATGACTGCAGCGATACTTCAAGCTACAACTATCAATGTGTAAAATTAGTTTGGAAGGCGCCTTATCATTACACATTTCACAAGCAAGCAGTCAGAGGCACCCAACCCGGAGGCCTGTTTTCTTCTCTGAGCCAAACCTACATTGGACTCAAAGAAAACGGCACACGGAGAGGGGCTGGATCTCCAGCTCCCAATCCTGGGGGGCCTCCTGGGGAGCAGATACGGAAGGAGAAGCCCTGGGCTACGGCACCGTCTTACTAAAGAAAAGTCCATTTGGGTAAATGTAAGCACCAAACTGAAGAGATTAAGCAAACCATGAAAAGAGACCACTAACCACAGCTTCTCTAAAACAGAACTAAACTCCCTTTAGTTTGAATTGGAAAAGCAGAAGTGATGATCAGGATACAAAGAAAAAATGACAAAGTATCTGAACACAGGAGAATAAACAAGGGCCACTGTCTCTTCCTGTGTCAGCGGGAGCCTCACATCTAAGCTGGATTTAGAAGGTTGCTACTTTGGACTGAAAGTTATCCCCAACCCTAGTTTGTAAGCAAGCGGAGCAGAACGCTTCAATTATTTCAAGGTTTAGCGGTAAAGCTCTGCAACTCTCACAACCATTTTAATTGGTGTGAATTTTAAAGTGACTCAATCTCTTGTCTGGAGCTTCTAACGGCTTAACCACGGGGTCATGTTGGAAAATTATTCCAATTGCTTTTGATTTTCCTACTGAAGATGCATTTGAACGTTCTTGCAGTTTGCAGTTGGCTGGTTCTGATGCTTGGTCCTGAGGAGGCCCAAGTACCCGGAGAGGAAGAATCTGAAACCTCAAGACACTCGAGTGCTGTCTGGGGAGATGGAGGCCCCAACCCGAGGGCCACTGTTGGACTCAGCACGGGCGCAGGGCCGCCCTAGGCAACGGGCCACGTATTTGCCGCTTACAAAACAACATAAGCACACACCCCCAGGTGTGCACACACGCTCTGTACACGCTCACGTCTGTCCGTGCCAGCACCAGCAAACACTCCCAGGTGTGCACACATTCTCTGTACACGCTCACGTCTGTCCGTGCCAACACCAACACACAACCCCTAGGTGTGCACACACGCTCTGTACACAACTGTCCCTGCCAATGCCACCACATATCCCCAAGGTGTGCACACACATTGTGTACGTGCTCAAGTCTGTCCATGCCAACGACAGCACACACCCCCGAGGTGTGCACACACGCTCTGTACACATCTGTCCCTGCCAATGCCACCACATATCCCCAAGGTGTGCACACACATTCTGTACATGCTCACATCTGTCCCTGCCAACGCCAGCACATACCCCCAAGGTGTGCACACATGCTCTGTACACGCTCACATCCCTCCCAGCCAATATGAGCACACACCCCAGGAGTGCACACACACTCTGCACATACTCACGTCTGTCCCTGCAGCCTGAGTCAAACAGTCACAGAGAAGCATAGGAGGAGGAGGAAGGACGCGATGGGCACTGAGGTCCTGGGCCGGTTCCCCTCTCTACCTCGGGAGAGACCCCTCATGTGATCCTGCCGTCACTCACCCTTCCACCTCCATCCTCTACCCTCCCACATGGATCAGGAGGACGCCCACTGCACAGAGCTGTGATGAGCATGAACAGAAGACGGCAGGAGCTCACGCCAAGGTGCTGAGCACGAGGCCTACGGAGTGCTTCTTTCTGCTGTGGCTGACATCATCAAACAAGAGGCTGACACGGCTTCTGCAGAGAATGTCACTCGCTGAGAAACTGAAACGTGTGACCTAGGAGCCTGTGAAGATCTAAGAACAAACCAACAAACCAAATGGCTTTGTTTGTTTTTCAAACACCATAGCCTGTTTTTTCTTTTTTTTTTAATGCTCTACCTTGGGTATCATTTAGTTTAATTTCAAAGTAAGTCCAATAAATACACAAAATCATAGGACTGAGCATGGAACATTGTTTCACTTCATGTCCTCCAGCCTTTAGGACACATTAAGGAAAGACACGATTCCAGGATTCCCATTAGAAAGGCTGCCCTGAGGCACCTGCTGCGACAGCCAAATTGCAGCTGTTCATGCTGCCCCCAAGCTGCTTGGATGAAGCAGAAGATTCCGGAGGTCTCTTCTCTTCTGCCCCTCGACCAGGAGAGAAGGTTGGAGGAGAAAGGTGACAGAAGACAGGAAGAAGGAGGGGGGAGGGAGGGAGAGAGGAGGGGGGAGGGAGGGAGGAGGGGCATGTTCCATCCACCAAGGCAGCCGCACTGCAGAGAGAATGGAGGGTGTGTTGCCTCTCAGGACAGCAAGTTCAAGCTGTTTATAATTGGTAGCGTAAACAGGGACCAGCAGAGGACAGGGCTGTAATTGGAGGTGACAATGTTTTATTTTCATAGTTGATATTGGGGACTTGGACCTACAGCACTGTGCCTTGCCCTTTCACCAGATGGGCCATGCCTCTCTATACTTGAGTCTATTTGACTAAATACCCGATATTGACTAGGAATTATGACATGTAGGATACCCCTTACCACAGTAACATCGAATTCACGTTCGAAATGCAATTTGCTCAGGGACTGGCTTCTAACTCTGGGTGGGAATGTTAAGCTCAGTCCCGTTCAATTCAATAAGCATTTATCAAGAAACTCCTAGACCAAGAGCTGTGTTAGACACTGGCTATGGGGTGATGGAGATACCAAGATGTGGAATTAGAGCTCGAGAAGCTCAAATGCTTTCATTTAATTCCCTAATGCAATTACCTAGCTTCAACCTGATGGCTGTAATGTCTAAATTCACTTTTTCTTTATTCCAGTTCTACATAACAAAGCATAAATAATCACAGAGGAATGATTCTGTGTTGGACTATTCAGTGGACAGAGAAGAGCATTCTGACCTGCGTAAGACACTGTCTCCGTTCCTGGGGAGCCCGTGAGGTGGCTGCACGGAGCACACGCGTGAAGATTCGGGAGCAGGAGCGTCAGGTGATGGGAGGGGCACGGAGGCAGCACCAGGCAGATGCTTGCTGAGGGGCCACTGCAGCCGGGCTGGCCGGGAAGGTCACGGGAGCGGGCACAGGCATCTCCCTCCAGCTGCACTTGGTTTTCATGAGGACGCGTGCAGGGAAGGGGATGACACTGAAATGCTGTGGCGCTGAGGGGAGGAGGGGAGGGACGCAGGGCTGAGGGCTGGCCACCACCCCTTTCGTCCATGCCCCTATGAACACTGCCAAAATCAGCCCCAATGGGGAGAAGTGAGGTGGGTGAAAGAGGTGGACAGACTTGGCTTCCATGGAATTCACAGATTCCAGTCATTAAAAATCCCGTCTGAGTTTTCATCTGGAAAACTTTGCAAATGCATTTAGGGACAAGAGGCAGAAGATGAAGCCAACACAGTTGGGCTCAAAACGCCGCCCTTCTCCTTCTCTCTGCAGCCAGGACCCGCCCCGAGCCCCTGAGTGTGAGGACCTGGAGCTGCCCAGCTCAAGGGCGCGGCCCCTGACCAGAGGAAGGAGACGCACAGTAGGGCCCCCAGCAGTGGATGGCAGGATCTGTGCTATCTCAGTCCCAGGGCCCCAAGCAGAGAAGGCCTGGGGCTCCCAGCTGAAGTTTTGCTGTCTCCTCTGTCACCAAAGTCGAGAAGGACTGAGTGGGACCAACGCCGGACCTGCCGGCTCCTCGGTGGCTGCTGATGTGGCCCTCAGGCTGCGGGTGAGACCGTCTAGGGGAGCCCAAACAGCGGCGGGAATCACAGCCACGAGTGCTCCAGGAGCCCCAAAACACAAGCGCAGCCTGAGGAAGGCAGCGCCCGCTCAGATCCCCGTCCAGGCTTGTGTGCCACACTGGAGAGGCACACGGCACCAGAACATGGTGCTTTAAGTGTCTTTGTGGGGTGTAGGAACACAAAGTGGGGCCTCGAGTGGCTCAGAAGTCACTCCCACCAGCCCGCGGGGACCTGGGCGGCCCCTCTGGACGTGGCTGGTGTCTCTCCAGGGCGGGCTCCAAAGTCCCCTGGAGGAGGTGAGCTTGGGTCTTGCTCTGACCTGAGGGAGCCCCTGACAAGTATCCTGAACATGCAGGCACACAGCTGGCTGACTCATCTGAAGGGACCTGCTGAACCACGAGCCAGGGAAGGCTGGAGAGAACTCGACTAACACACGAACCCTGCCCAGGCACCCACCTATGGCGCCCACGAGAAAACTAGGGAAGCTGTGAAGACGGAGGTGTGCATGGGGCTGGGAGAACCCAGGGAGGAGCTGCACTGGGGACCGGGAGGGATGGAGGGCTGGGCCCCACAAGCAAATGAGGGAGGCACTCAGTGCCCTGAAGATACCACTGCACCCACAGTAGCAGGCCTGGCTG